CTCCATGTTTCCTTTCTATACGAAATATAATATCAAGCCGGTTTTAGAGTTTTAGGGCAAACAGATCAACAATAGATCAACTATTCACGGCTGAGACAACTTCTAGACAAGGAATGGGAGTATAACAGACCCATACACAATATTTTGATAGACTTTCGACAGGCATATGATAGCGTAGAAAGAAGCCAAGTATGGAATGCCATGGCGGAGTTCTCAATACCAAAGAAACTCATTCGGATGACCAAAGTCATTATGGAGGGTGGAATGTCTAAAGTACGTGTAAATAATAAACTGTCTGGCAGCTTTGAAATCAACAGTGGACTTAAACAGGGCGATGCGTTATCTCCACTACCTTTTAACCTTGTCCTTGTATTAGAGAAAGCCATGAGGTCGGCCGAAATAAAAACAGAATTGCCATCGGTTCAAGGTCCCAAGCTGTTACTCGCACATGCAAATGACATAGATCTCGTTGGAGACTCCATCCTATCCACGAAAGACATTTTTAACAAGGTGGACGGAGGAACAAGTGAAGTAGGGCTGAAGATTAATGAAGAGAAGACGAAAATATATGTGTATAAATAGAACCACACGAAGAGACAGAATAGGAAAAAATGTGATGGTTAACACACTACAGTGTTCAATGATAAATATACAAAACAACACAAACTTAGTGCGAAATGTTGTAAAATATCCCCAAATAAAAGGCAGAGAAAAGTAAGGTTATGTTTTCAATACTTGGTCAGTTGTAAATGTGTGAACAGTGTTGCTAACTGTGAATATTGAAAAATGGTATAATGATTCCATTAATTCGCACCATTCTATATGTATATATATACAGAGTAGCCCAAAAGTCTGGAAACGGCCAATTATCTTGTAAATTGCTAGTTATAATTGTACAAAAATTTGAGGTACGCCTATTTTGGGATACGGAGATTCCATATTTGATATTTGCAATGTTGCTAGATTTTCCGTTTCTCTTATATTATTAGTAACTTTGGTTTTTTAAATGCATCACTCTATATATTTAGTCACTATTGGAATCTCTTATTCAATACGAGTTCACTTATGTATGTAACACTTATGATTTTATGTAGTATGAAAGGTCTTAAATACATAAAACACAAGTCTGGCAACGCCTAATTGTTTCAATAAATTTTTTAATACTAATTATTTTCAACTACATTAAAACTTAACAACTGATAGATTAGAACATTTTTTAACAATAGTTACGTTAATAAGTGTTCAAAATGTGCTCAATTTATGAGTTGACAGTACCCTAATCGATGGTAGAATGCGTCTATCACATTTTTCCATGATGGTCTAGAAACAATTCGAGATTCATCGATAATTCGTTGCCTTAGCTCTGTAAGACTTGCTGGTTACGTTTTGTAAACTAAATTTTTCAAGTATCCTAATAAAAATAATCTCTATGATTGAAATCGGGTGAACGTGAAGGCCATTCAATTTTACCTTAACGTAACCAGCCAAGTTTTGCAGAGCAAAGGCAACGAATTATCGATTAATCTCAAATAATTTCTAGACAATCATGGAGAAATTTGATAGACGCAATCTACCATCGATTAAGGGTACTGTTAACTAACAAATTGAGCATATTTTGAACACTTAATAACGTAACTATTGTTAAAAAATGGTCTAATCTATCAATTGTTACGTTTTAATGTAGTTGAAAATAATTAGCAAAAAAAAATTTATTGAAACAATTAGGCGTTGGCAGACTTCTGTTTTATGTATTTAAGATCTTCCAGACTATAAAAAATCAAAAAATCATAAGTGTTACATATAGTTGAACTCGTATTGAATAGAAGAGTCTAATAATGACTGAATATACAGGGTGATGCATTTGAAAAACCAAAGTTACTAATAATATCAGAGAAACGGCAAATCTGGCAACATTGGAAATATCAAATATGGAATCTCCGTACTCAAATTTTGTACAATTATAACTAGCAATTTATAAGATAATTGGCCGTTTCCAGACTTTTGGGCCATTCTCTCTCTCTATATATATATATATAATATATATATATATATATATATATATATATATATATATATATATATTATATATATATACACTTCAGTGCAAAACAATCGACTCAAAAGCGATATTTGAGATTACACCTTCTGTTTTAATGTAAGAAGTATGAAAATAACAAGATGTAATGTGCAAACAGTAACTTTATTTATTGAACTTACAAAAACTGCTACTTTATTATTTGGGAGACGCATTATAAAAACAATATGCAATACGAACAGAACTTCTCAAATATTCATCATTGGAACTATCCCAAGAAAGACGTAATGAACAGAGAAATCATCAATTAAACAATGAATTTTTTTGTTTTTCAGTATCTGATATTACCACCCCTATTCCTAATTACACTTTCCAATCGATTTCGCATGGATCGGATGACTTTTGTAATAAATTCTTGAGGCATTGCTTCCCATTCATCATTAATCGCAGCTCTTAATTCCATTATGCTCCTTGGTGCCTGATTTCTGCTCCGGACCCTTCGTTTAAGCTCATCCCAAACATGCTCTATTATATTTATGTCCGGACTCAAAGCAGGCCAATTTATTGTAGGTATACCGATCTCAGTCAGATAGGTGGTGGTGACTCGTGCGGTATGACATCATGCACTATCATGCAATAAAATAAGAGGCATTACCAATAAATCCCGCGTATGGAACCACATGTTCCTTCAAAATATCTCTGATGTAACGATCCGCCGTTAAACCTCCTTCACATCCTCCACCAGGCACGAAAACTAGCTCGGTTTTCCCATCCATGAAAATGCCTGCCCAAAACATACAAGAACCGCCTCCATATGACACAATTTCTCGTATACAACATTGAGCAAATCGTTCTTCTGGCCTTCTATAGACTCGACGCCTCTTGTCGTTGCCATGTAGACAGATCCTACTTTCGTACGAGAATAATACCTGACTCCATTGATAGTCGTTCCAATCTAGATGTTCGCGAGTAAATTCTTGTCGTCTTTGCTTCTGGGCTGCAGATAGCTTGGGACCAGTAACTGCTCTTTTTGGTGTCAGATTGGCTGATTTCAGTCTCTTTCTGACTGTCCAAAAGCTGATAACCACACCTCGGACCTCTCTAAGTCTTCTTTGAGATCAGCACCAATCAAATGTCGATTTCTCAGAGATTTAGATACAAGAAATCGATCATCTCTTTCTCTTGTTGTTCGTTTACGACCTCCTTCTTATCAGCGGACATAATCACCAGTATCTTGGTACCGACGATACACTCGAGACACAGCAGATTGGCTTAAATTTAGTCGATTTGCCACGGCTCTCTGGCTCAGGTCTTCTCTCAATAGTGCTACTGCTAGAGCTGCTTTGATGGACGTGGTATCCATTTGTTATGAAGTTGCGAACTTAATTGACTGATGTATTAGTGGGTTGCTATGGAAATTGATGGTTACGATGGTTCAAATTATGACCCCCTCTCTACGTGTTGCATTATTTATTTGTAATACGTCACCCGATTTACCAAAAATCAAAATTTTTTTCAAACTCAATAATGAGGTTAATATATATATATTATATCATCTAAATCTACAAAATTTGATTGTTAAAAGACTAAAGTTACATTATTTATTATTTATATCAGGTAATAAGACAAAATATTAAGTGTTCTACATAAATGATAAAATATTTAAAACATAGATAAAACATAAAACCTTATTAATCCCATTCCCATACTTAGAACATATAATCAGTTGTCATTCCTAACTTTCTAGCTTGTTGCTTTCTTCTTAACTTTTATTATTTACATTGTTTAGAAATGTGTAGTAAGAAAAAATCATTTTGTAAGTCTAAAAAATAAAAATTTATAAAAATTAGCACAGAATGAATACCTAATGTATATAAAAATTATTAAAAAATATACAAATATTTAGAAAACCGAATTTTTGATGAATTTCGGAAATTGTTATCAAAATACAAACATTACTAAATTGTATTTTGAGAACGATTTCCGAAGTCGAAATTGAAACATCAATAAACGTATTTTTATCTTTAATTGTGGCTTATTCTCCAATTCTTAATTTCCAATCTCCGATAGTTCATGGAATTAATCACTTTACCCTAGTCATCCTATTGTACAAAACATAAGAAATGAACTTAATGCACTACACCATATAAACAAAAAGGTTACATTTATCTGGATACCTTAACACATTGGCATTAAAGGCAACGAGGAAGCTGATCAATTAGCAATAAAATCCATCAAAAATTAAAATGTTCCAGAAGTTACTAACTATCCCCACACTGACCATAAACGACAGTCCATGAATCATATAATAAATGTATGGCAAGCAATCTGGGATGCAACAGACTCTAAGTTGAAAACAATAAAGCCTCGAGTAGACTCTAGCCTACCACAATAAGGGAAAAAGAAGATATCAAGTAATCGTAAATCGTCTTCGAATCGGCCAAACAATACTAACACACCAACACCTTCTAAATAAAGAACCAGCTCCAATTTGTACCTACTGCTCTACTCAACTCACTGTGAAGCATCCGATATCGACTGTCCGCGTTTCCAACCTCAGAGAACATGCCGGAGGAATTAGTGGAAACCTGAGAAGTGCGCTTACGACAAATATCTCGGATTTATTGCAGTTTCTAAAAGACATAAACATTTATAATAAACTTTAATTTAACAAACTGTACTACTGTGTATGTCCCCCCACTAATAACCCTTGGTGGTTGATGTGGGTTTTGTATGTTTAAATAAAAAAAAATCTCCAATAGGAGTGGCACAAGAAGAACAAAAAGAACAGTTATAATAATTAAAATTCAGTCAATTTTAAGAATAAACACAAACGAGTCTGGCTAATTGGATCTGCAAAAGCCATTTTTCAGAAAAAAACCCTCACCAATTTTTCTTTATATGATTTTTTGTATGTTTTATTCTATTTCATCATACTCTTGTACAAAAGTTAACTAGTTATTACCTGTAGACCATTTGTAAAAGTCAGTGAGAAGAAACCTAACGCCGAAATATACAGAGGTCTGCGGGCGAAATTTGAAATCATTATAACATAGGATTTCTTTAAATCGCTTCCACTTTCTTCCCAGTTAGAAGCAAAAGCAATTTCTGCAGTTTTTTCGGACTAAAATCAATACAATATGGTGTATTAGTTGCGTAGAATAAAAACTGTATACAAATTAAATACTTAACAAAAAACAAATACATAGTAAAAATAAAACCAAATCCTTTTCTAGAAACTTCTTATGTTTCTGTATGATAATATTTCATCACATTATTGGTTTATTAAAATTTCTGCAATATTTGAGATAAAAAAAAGTTCAAATCACCCTCTTCATCACTGATTTATTACCTTATGGCACATTTCTTTTCTAAAATCTTTGTAACTAAAAATTTATTGAATAATTTTAACTGTTTTGTCATTTATGGAATTTCTATTTTTTAGTATTAATTACAGGTTATGTTTTTTAACTATAACGGTTAAATACTATTAAAGATTATTACAACAAGCTGCTGTGCATAGATATTAAAAGCGTAGGTGTAAAATTTAGGGCCAATGCTTTTTAAATGCATTTTTTTCGAATCCTGTGAAAACTAACAAATATTTTGAAAAATTTAAACGCAGAATGGAAACATTACATTATTACCGAAGGCCGAAAGTTCCTTAGAATAAAAAAAGTTTTTTTGATGAGATATTTGAAATTTAAAATCACACTAAATTTTTTGTTTTTTTTTTCACCCCTGTAACTTATTAAATAAATATTATAGAAGATTTCAGGGATTCTCGGCCCTCGATAAAAATGTATTCTTTCATTCTGAGCTTAAATTTTTAAAAAATATTTAATAGTTTTCACAGGATTCGAAAAAAAATGCATTTAAAAAGCATTGGCCCCAAATTTTGCGCCTACGCTCTCAAAGGAAAATCATCTGAAAAACTGCCAAGATTATGTCAACTCTGTACCAAAAATAAAAGACCAAAGAAAGTAATTGGTATACAACGTACATTTTTAAATAAAAATAAAAAATTCGTTTTACTTACCTCGTTAGTTAATAGTTGTGGCGGGTAAAAATATAGAATAATGTAAATTCGATAGTATATATGCATAATAAACTAAGACGTGTTAATAAATCTGCCATGGGGCTAAAATCAAAAAAAAAAAAAAATTCTTATAAAGTGTTTTTAGAGGTATAGGACTTAGATGTGATATGAGAAACGATCGTGCGAGAGTAGCGGAGAAATTTTTTACTGCAAATTTCATAGATTTCATAAATTCATATTGTCAATTGTCATATTTCATATTCGTTTGTTTATTTATACCTTCTGTCACTGAAGAAAATGGGATTTAGGAAATGCTATGTTATAAATTGTCAAAATACAACAAAAAATTGTCAATTAAAGTTTTATTCGTTTCCAACTTCAAAGCACAAATTACTACAAAGAGGAAAGTGGATTTATATCATAAAAAAGCATAAGTAACATAACCAAATTATGCATTATTCTTGCGCCCGATTTTAAGTCAGTTTGAAATAAATAATAAATAAAAGTTCACTTTTAAGTGTAAATTTTAGTTATACAACACTCACTTACAGTTCATTTTAACCCAAAAATCAAGTTTAATGTTTAAATTTTACTTTTTTGAAGTTTATAAGTTTAAGTTCAAGTTTTTCTGAAGATGCATTATGATATATTCGCTGTTCAAAAGTTTACAGAGAAATAATTAATTGTTCAAATCAATATGAGGATATCATGGGCATAACCTGCTTAATTTATGCATTAGCATTATTTATGGTAATTTATTTTTCTTAATTCTTCCACATAATTCTTCCATTCTTTTTTGACATTTGCCACTACTAAAGCTTTTTCTTTTGACTCAGTGCTTGATTGAAAAGTTATTTGGTGATTTACTTGCTCAAATCCAGTTTTTATTAGTGCATCCATATTAACAGTAATGCTGTAATTTAATAATATATTTATTTGTATTTACACTAGGAACATGAAAGCACTACGTCCATTTTTTTGTCGACGTATTAGTCCATCAGAGCAAGTAATTCCGATTAATCATGGAACGGTTTTGCATCACGTTTACTCTAACTAATAATATACATAAAAAAAACTGCAGAATGAATATTTTAGATTCCTTGCCGACCAATTCACAATCTATTGCTTGCAAGTGTAGAAAGAATAGTGGCAAAGATTTAATTGAGTTTCGCTAGGTAAAAAATCTTATGATTTCTCTTGCTAACTACAGGATTTCATTTTCTTTATGAAACATAACCTAACTTTTCGTTTTTCTTTTTTTTTTATAATCAATTTTGATCTCTTTTCCGATCGTGAGTACTGGTCTGAACATTGTGCTAACGATGGTTTTAACAGAATTAAATTATATAGGAACAAAAAGATCCCTTAAATCTAGAATCTTTTATAGAGGTGCCTAGGGGAGAGTGGGGATCCTTCAGACATAAAAATTTGAACTGTCATATCTCTCTAAATACCTCACCAAATAAAGAAAGAAATATTCATAAAATACATTGTTCACCCAACTTTCAACTGTATGTATGCTTTTAATATTAAACCCTATACTTGTTGCAAAAAAAGATCAAAACTTCTTTTCAAAAACGTCTGAAGGTGCTCTACTTGGGAGCACCTTCAGATGGGGAATGGGACAGCTTCAGACACAATTGGAAAAATGACAACCTGATATAAATGTTTTAGAAATTATTTATTACAATATTTAAAACTATATTAATAATACTTAATCAAACACCTAATGCATATTGAAGTTTTCTTCAATATGCAAACTTAAAAAGACAATAATGATTTCTGTCGCTTTGTATCCTGCTCAGAAGGATTTGGCAAAAGGGCTACAATTTCTGATAAACAAGCACTAGAGATATCTGGATTAACTTTACATAACATTCTCAAAAATGAAATTTCAACATCCTCATCATCACATTTAACAATGATTCTCCCAACATAATACACATCTTTTTGTTTTACAGTTCCAAATTAAACCAGCACAAAATCATCAATTTTCAATTCACTCCTGTCAAAATTTTGCTGTGATTTTACTAATACTTTATAGTCACAAGTTTTTGTCATTTATCATCAGTTGTTTTCTCATTCTTCTCATTTTTAAAAAGTAGTTTTATTTTCATGGATTTAGGACGTTCAGCATTAGAGTTGGTGGTTTTCTTTGTTTTTTATTGATCTGTATTTCTGTCAGAAGAAGCTTTTCTGGGTGTCGGTTATTATTATTCTGCTTTTCCCGTTTTCATTTGGTTTCTTGGAACGAGTATTTGGTTTCGATTTAGGATATTCTCGTATCTCCTAAGGACTTAGGATGGACTAAATAATAGCTAGGCTGTTGAAAGGCATAGGCGTAGAGTTTTAGCAGCTCTAAAATTATGTTAATGCAGTGTCTATTGGTCGCTGAGAGTTTCGCTTGAAATTAGGGAAGATGAGGGTGGTTTTCAGATTCTAAAGTTGGTAGACTTGCAGCTAGTTGGCATGTTAGAGGTTCATCAGGAAGAGTTTTGTCTGAAGGATTAGGTCTCTCACTGACCAAACTGGGAGCAAACATATCGTCGTTGAAAATGTGCCTGTCAACTGGACATATTCCTGTTTTTTTGAAAGAATTTATAATGCTCTGTGGTAACATGACACGGCTATGTGGTATTCCAACACATACGGCTACGTGACAGATTCCAAATCGTTGGCCTGGATTAGACTTCAACCATTAATCAATGGTAGTGTAGCGTTATAACTGCTACATTGCATGCTTTCTTTCTTATGTTAATATATTTCGTTAATTATATTCTCCAATTTCCATATCTTCTGTCATAATTCATATTCTTCTATATCCTCCATTGTATCTCTTATTTTTCTATATATTTTCTAGGATATAGATTGTATCAGAATTATGTCGTTACTTAATTGATTCATTATTCTCTTTTCATTTTTACTGGTATTTGGTATAAAAACCAGTTGGCGTCCAAATCTATCTTCTTTATATATATATATTTTAGTATCTACCTTTCCTATTTTCTTAATAATCATCATTTTTATCTTTTACTCAAGTTTCTAAAGAGTGAATTTTATTTTCATCTCTATTTCTGTTACTTTGGAACGAGAGGTCCCATCTTTATTCTTTGTCGAATTTCTCCTTCCCGTTCGATACAAAAGTCCATATAATCGCTTTTATTTCTGAAAACGTCGATTTTCTTCATGACTTCTCTAGAGGAGTCGAATAATGAGAATAACCCAATTGTTGTGTCGTCTCCAGATTTGGAGGTAAGTGTATAATATATTTTATCGATTTCCTAATTCCACCTGTTGTATAAAAATCTTTTTATAATTTTAACTTTGAAAATTATAAAGCTCATTATTTATGATTATGGTATGACATGTAAGTAGATACATATTTTGTGGATATTTTTTTATGTTTTTTATTTTATATAAAAAACTAGCGATAAGAAATATATAGTTTCTTTAATATAGTGTGTAAAAGTTTTACGAATATTTTTATAGTCTTAAATATGAATTTTTAAATCCATAATATCTTTTGTATTTTAATAATAATTAACTTTTGACAAACTACCATTTCTATATAGCAATGTTTCTAAATTATCTAGCTTTTCATAAATATATCTTGTCATTTTTTTTAAATTAATATTAGAATATTTCACTTTTAAAAAAGTAATACCATTTGCATATATATATATATATATATATAATATATATATATATATATATAGTATATATATATATATATCCTTACTTTTACTTATTTGCCTATGATAAGTACGTAAATAAGAATTGTTTCTCGACTTGCTTGGGTGAATAATGATAAAATTTTGTTAAATTTCATTGGTCACCTTTTTCATCCCCCAAGCAAGGTCTCTCATTTTGGTTTCACCATTTTCTAAAGCAAGGTGTGTTTTTCTTCATTTTAGTCAACCTCCGGGATACATTTCTCAGGTGCAGGTCAAATTCTATTAACATCCAGAAGACCAACCGGCCTGAGAATGGAACCATCATTCCAATAGGAGAGTTGACTCCGGGACAAGAAAATCCACAACTAACAACATGGTTTGCTAACAACCAGAACAGAAAAGACCAGGATA